GTACACAGGTACCACACCCAGCAGAGCTGACCCTCAGGACCATGTGCTCTTCCCAGTCGTTCCCATGCACAGTCACATATTTTTGACCAACCCAACTACAGCTGCTCCATCGTAACACTGAATGTGCAAGCTCTGCACCCTTGGGACATGCTGAAATTAATGGCTCAAAAACAACACTGCAGGGTGTAATGCTTCTGCTTGAGGACTGAAATCCTGACATTTCTGGACCTTGAAAATGCAAGACAGCAGCTCTCTGCTCCAGGAGAACATCATAGCCATCGCGTACCTCTTCCCATCCCTCCACGAGCAATTCATACGAGCAGAGCAACCAGCCCTGGGCAGCTCTCCTACCCTATGGACACTCTCCAGCTGGCACTGCAAGGGGATTTGAGTGAAGAAACCTGGAGGAAATCTTATGGTGTGTGTTGTTCCCTGAAAAGGGAATAGGACAGGCAACAAGCGCAGAGCTTTTCCAGGGGGCACAAGCTGGTGTGACCTGTCTTCTGGGCTGCCATGATGCTCTCAACTTCAGCAGACAAAGCAACACATGGTCTTGCTATCCGCAGTGTTCCTGCCAGCCTCGTGTTTCAATTGCAACTTGATTTTAGCAGCTGCTTTCTCTCTCTGAGACACACACACACTCACACAACCACACTCCTTAAGCAGTTGTAAAATTAAACTTTACCCAGGTAGGTAGGACCTCTTGTAAAGCACTGGGGACTCGGAGAGGGAACTTCAAAAATCCAGTCTTTTGCTGGAATTTGAGAGGTTTCCATCCCTGGCCTCCTTGCTCTAACAGCTCTTTAGACAGCACTACTAAACGCATATCGGCATGTGGAGGTAAAAAGCAAGGCAAATAGAAGAAAACAGACGGTGGGAGATGCTTGAAGCTGTCTGACGTGATTTGCTAGAGAAGTCTGCTGGAGGCTCTCACCTCTCCTCCAGCCTCTCCTCTGCTCTCCTTGTCCCTGAATTCACCTCTCCGCTTCGCTGCCATCAGCCAGCACAAACCCCCGCTCAGGCTGGTGCTGGCCGTGACTCGTGGTCCCAGCCCAGCCTGGCAGCCACAACTGTGGCATCTGCACATCTATCAAACCCACTGGAGCATTTGGGAGGCAGAGGTCAGCCTAAGCAGCATATGGAGCGATTGCGTGGTGAACACCAGCCTCCTCAGGAGATGTCTGTCACAGATGGAAAAAGCCCAGGAGCCATCACGACAAAATCTTATGGCTGGGGGCGATGCATCCTCCCGGTCAGCTTTCCAAGCCGCTGAGCAATATTGGAAACCTCAGCTCCTCTCCCACCAGTGCACACACCCAGCACTGACTCATTCACTGCCGTTTCAGTCCTGCGGTTTGCCAGTGGGAGTTGTAGAAAGTGGGATGTGGAGATGAGTTAATCCCAATGGCATGTGGCTACCACGATGGAGGGGGACTAGCCACCCACTCCAGCGGTATGAGCTGGCTGTGCACAGTGTGGACGTGCCACCAAGATCCAGGTCCCACCTGCTGATGCAGTCACAGGAATTTTTTAACCTTAACTCTTGGTGGGGACAGGATATACCACCACAGGACCATACAAGGTCCTCTCCTGGAGAAAGGCAACCCTTTATGTGGTCCCAGGGCTTAGTCAACATGTAACCAGGAATGGAGTTAATGGCAGCAAAATGCAAGGGGGTCACCAGGAGCAATGCTCCAGCTGTGAGATCTCACAGGCCAAGTGGCACAAGGCAGTGCACAGAAGGCATGAAATTTCCCTGGCTGAAATCACGCTCAAACCAAGCACAAGTTCAAAGCCCCACACTAGGTAGAGACAGGGAAAGAGAGCCACCACAGTTTCTCCAGCTCTGATTCCTTGGAGCACGGCAATTCCTCTCCATCTGAAACTATTCCACTGGCTGTAATTTAAAAACAAAATCAATCCAGCAAACATTGCTAAGCAACTGGTTGTCAGTGCCACATCCCATCCCATCGAAAGCATTTGCCCTCTCCATGCCCTTCTGGCAAGGAGCTTACTGCTCAGCCTTTGCCAGATTTTGCAGCTATCATTGGAAAGTCCAGGTGCTTGGCTGAATTAGCAAAGAAAACTCCAGGAAATCTTCTGCAACCAGAAGGATAAAACCAGAAGGAAAAATAGCCCACAGAGAAGCTGCAAGGAGCAGCATTCCCACGTCCCAGCCCTTAGGATCCAGACTACAGGGTGTGGGTCTTGGGACATTACCATGGTCTATAGGTCTATGCATCTCAGTGCTGCCACGTGTCATACAGGCGGGATAAAGGATGGGGAGCCAACACTCTGAAACCTGGTCACAGAGCAGAGTAATCTACTTTGAGCAACAGCATCTGACTGAGAGGCTGAAGGAGAACCTGCTTGCCCATGGGTATGAGCTGAAGAGATGGGTAAGACCCTCTCAAAAGCCTCCTAACCCCTTATGTGAGCCAGGCAGGAGCCCCTCGACATGGTGGTGCCCTGTAAGTGTAGGATCTGCAACAGGTTGTATCTTCCCCCAAAGTCAGCTGGAGCAGAATCAAAGTCCAAATCCTTGGGTTCACTCTCAAATAAGGAAGCCTGAGTGCTTCCAGTCTGGCTCACATAAAGCAGCTTAATCTAGGTTTTCCGTTGAAACCAAGCCTCTAAACACAACCTCCAGTAGGTCATGCAGCATGAGCCTTGAGGGTGTCCCTTCTCCATTGTCCACAGGATTCTGCCCTTCCCTTTGCAGGAGGGGCATCTCCTAGTCAACACCATGCTCGACCCTCTTTATATATTTCTATGTACATTCTTGCATAGCCAACAGCAATTTCTCCCTGCTTCAAGAGCAGGCCATGCTTATCCATGCTTCCCCACACAGTTGTACTGGACAATTCAAGACCAGCTTCTAGGTTACATGGTAGCGCCTGAGCATCACCTGAGGCAGCTCTTGGGACACCTGTGCTGTAAACAAGGATTATCTTTCCTGAGCGGGCTTAGTTACGCACTTTCCTCCCTCCCTCAACCAACAATCCCAGATCCTTTTCCCTCCTCCATACTTCCCATCAGCGCCTGCCTCCCCCAGATCTCCAGGCAGCCCCATTTCCTCTGTGGTCGCTCTAATGCTCGGCTAATGGTGCATCAGCCACAGCACTCTCCAGACATATTCAATAAATCAGAATCCAATTACCGGGTTAAGGAAATTGGAAACAAATTAAATTAGCCCTAGCCCCTCCCAGGTGCTGCGCCCTCACTTCCTCCTTAATGAGAACTTTTCTTTCACAGGAGCACTCAGCGCCACATCTGCCCACCCAGGAACAAGGTGGCTGCCACTACACAGCACGGGTATGGCAAAGGGGCAGCCGAGTCGATCTTCCCTTTTAATAGGGCAGATGGTTAATATCCTTGGCATTAATTCTCTCCAGGAATAGCACACTCGCTCTCTGCTCAGCTATAACAGGCGTCTGTCAGGGCTGACAGCTCCTCTCCAGAGAAAAGAGCATCTGTTCCTTAGTACAAAAAGAAGCTAAATAAATAAATAAGCACGTTATAGGGCAGGAGAACTGGTGCTGTTTCAGCATTTCAGCCTAAGTGCTGCCTTTGAACTGGAATAGGGGAAATTCAGAGTTGGGTCAGATGCCGGGAGTGGAGTTGCTCTGATCTGGGAACAAGATGCAGGATGGGCAGCAAGGTGCCATGACTGGCTCCAGCACAGAGCTCCTACCAAAACAAAGGACTTCCCCCAAAGGGCTCCCAAGAGAAGACTGCAGAGAATGGCTGTTGCCAGCAAGTTGGGACATGATGCCAGGCAGAGCTCCTTGGAAAGGACTTGCACCGTCTGTGGGCTGGTGACTGACAGCAGGGGCCAGGCATATGCTGTGCCCTCAGAAGACAATGAGGGGAACTGCATTGAGGGAACATTGGGAATTTCTCCTTCACCAGTGGGACACCTCTGCATCGCTCTATCCAGAAAACTAACAATTAACCTCACTGACCTTCAACAACCTGCACCCACAAAGGGTAGTTCTTCCCTGAGGAGTTAGGAGAGGCAACCACAGGAGGAGGGTAAAGGCGCTGCACTGTCATCGCAGAGACCTGGGTTTGATTCCCGGTCAGGGCCCCTCCCCGGGCAGACGGAGCTCGTTAGCCCTGTAAGGCAATCCATCTACGTCCTGAGGACCTCGCTGCCACCGTCCAAGCTCACTTGGCCCCGGCAGATGAACCTCAGGATTAAAGGGTGGGCTCAGTTCCGCGCAGACTGTGTCTCACCTAAAAAATCCAATGCACAGGCTGGAAGGTGTAAAGACCTTCCCCGGTTCTTCGTTCGCGAAGACTGGCCATTACACACACATTACAGCTGCACTCTCAGCAAGCAGTGGTGCACCAGAGCTCCCATCCCACCCTTCTCATGCTGACAAGGTAGTAGGGCTCTGTCTACAAGACAACCCTTGCTGCAATCCTCCTGCCTCTCCCAAGGGGTCCTTTGGGTGCCAAAGGATATTTCTGACCTCAGTGGTGCTGAAGCAGCCAGTAATCCAGCAAGTTCTTACCTCTCCCTCTCACTCAGCAATTGCCTCTCATTCCCCACTCCTCTCTCTGCAGAGCCAAATCAATGTTTAACAGTTATTTTATCTGCCTTGCACCACTTCACTGCATTGTCTGCAGAGTAAGAGCTCCCAGCACCAGTGAAAACTTTGACCATCATGCAGAAGTGTTCTTGCACACCCATTACTTTTCTGAAGGTCAAAAAAAGGGTTTTTCCTTTCTTTCCTTATAGTCCCAGGAAATTTTACATAGGTTTTAATTAATAGGTTTAAGACTTCCAGACATGCCAAGAAATCAAGCAAAGTGAATCAATCCTAAAAATATAACTCAGGCAGAAGCAATCTCAAGAATACCCTCTGCTCTGTGGGCCAAGGGCCCAGACCCACCTAATATCCTAAAACCATGGCCCTGAAGAGAAACAGAACTATCCACCCAAATATAATGAAGTTTCAGAAGATCAGGAGAAAGCAGGGGGGAGGCAGAACCTGTGATGGCGGGTGTCACGGACAGCACGGTCACTGGGGATCCTCTCGCTCTCCCGCTGGTTAAAGGCATGGAGCCGGTACGGGTCCTCGCCGCCCTTCCACCTCCGGGCACTCAGGTACCTCCGCTCTTCAAACTGATCCCAAAGGTCGTCCCAGTCCACATCCGATTCCTGCACGCACAAAGTCAGCCCCATTAGACAGAGGAGAGACCAGGGGACACCTGATCCCATTCTGAAGATCCTCCCAAGTCCCACCGGAAGGTCGGTCAGCACTGCAACATGGGCAAGCATTGCAAGAGCAGGCCAACAAGGAGTCCCATTAGGTCTTCGGGGTTTATTTTTTTCCCTTAGGTCCCAAAATACCGTATCAAAGAGAGCCTGCCAATTTGAATTTAAAATGACTAATTTGAAATCAAATTCAGGTCTCTGGGGGATGCCACCCTCAAGCAGCATCGTCTCAAGAAATATAAAAGCATAAGTGTTTTGTGAGGGTTTTAATATCTCTCCAGCCAAAAACAAAGGTATTTTACAACACTTGACCAATCGCCCCTGTAACCCTTCAGGCAGGAAAGGGCCATCAACAGGAGACGTTTCATAAAGCACAGTCCCACATTTCCACAGTCACTCCCTAGGCCAAGGACCAGTAGAGCAATAGGATTCTAGAAGAATGGGGCCACCATCCTTCCAGCGCAATTTCAGTCCATCTTCGCCACAACAAGTCTCCCACTAAGGTCTTCAGCCCTACCACAGAGAGAAGAGCAGGCAAGTACGTGCTTGTGCGGTCCCCCCTCCAGAAGGATGGAGGAGCTGCATTTTGGGGCTACCCAACAGCTCTGACGACCATCGGGAGTTTAAGCATCTCTTGGTGGGTTGGTGCTGTTGGGGGGGTTTAAACATCCCTCTGCAGCATGATGCTGTCAAGAGGGTTTAAGCACCCTTTGGCAGTGTCTGAGCCAGCCAGCACAATACCATGTGGATACATCTCATCGTTGCAGCAGCACAACCTCTTTGATCTCAGCCTACCTGTAACACTGAGAGATGCAAACATTTACAGACATCCCAGCCCTAAAGAAAATTGTGATCTTATCCAATAATTGATCTTTTCTTCTTCTTTTCTTTTTTTTTCACCCTCCTCAGTTCACACCATCTGAAAGCCGATTTTGCCTGCTAATAGCACAAAATGAAGCTTTTGAAATGGATGATTTTTATCCTGTAATTGATTTTTCTCGCATCTGGCAGTGCATTCTCTGTAGTCAGAGGAAGAGGAGGAGGGAGCACTGGCTCTTGCAAGTGAACCACTGCAGGACCAAGCCAGGCACCTCCAAACAGAGGATGCCCCACACTGCTCTGGGTTACAGCAACATGAACACTTCCAAAAAGGCAGCAAAGCCCAGGGATGGAAGGGTTTCCAGACACACAGTTGTATTCATCCTCCCCTGGTGTGACCCCATGGCCTTCTCAGGAGCTCCTCCAGCATTTACCCCAGTGTGGGAATATCAGAAGAAACCGCAAGGCCACCAACCATACTGGAAGAAAGTCAGTCAAGACCAGGGGAAAATTAACCAAGGCTGGGAGAAAGTTATGAAACCAGTGAGGTCACTGCAGGAGGTTTACGAGAAGGATGCACGGAACCCGCCTGCGGACTTTTGGGAGGACCGACGTGCTCAGGGTGATAAATACTGTTTATGCTTTTTTTCTAAGGCATCTTGCAAAACGTGATTTACTGCAACAGTAAAAGATCAGGGAAAAGAGAGCTGATTGCATTGCAGAGCCACCGACAGCCTGATGTTTATAAGATTTCATGATGACCCCGGGAGGCCTAGCGCTGCTAAAACAACTGCCACAGAGTTGCAGTCCCTAAATTTTAATGCTGTGAAGAAAAATAAAACTTGGTTTTATCAAACTTAATAAGAAAAATGGCTTTCAGAAGCAGCCACGTAGCACTTGAGGCTGTAAGATGTGTGCATATATATATGTTTGTTTGTTTGTTAATGTCAGTTAAACCCAATAGCTTTGGATCAGCTAGAAGGGCACAGCTGGGCAAGAATCTGATGGCTCAGGTGGGAGGGCTGGTGGATTTCTGCAAGCAACTGTGGCTCCAGGAAAATTGGAGTTTCTGCACCTGCTACAAGGGCAGTAAGGCTCTGGCCAGGCAGCAGAAGCAGGGGTTCAACACACAGGAGGGTCCTGGCATGTGCTTCAGGGTCTGGGATGGCATTTTCCCAGCATCCATCTAACCCCAGAAATGTTCTGTTGCTGGGAGGTCCCAGCAGTAAATCAATACAAGGACAAATACCGGTGGCTCATCCAGCAGTATTTGCTTCTCCTCCTGCCCTGGATATACCCTGCATCCAAGGGCTGAATTCTTGGTTCACTCTGTAGTGAGTAACTAATACTCCTAAGAAATCTCCACCTGAAAGGCATCAGCCCACCTTGATTCACCCAGGCTCTCCTTCTTGGGTTGAGGAAAGATATCAGTAGGATGGTTAGTAAATATTGGGTAATTAAATACACACCTGAGATCAAGAGCAAATAGATACCAGAGATTTAAGAGTTCTTTTAATCCCTCTCTGGCCACAAAACGAGCCCGGGTTAACTTTCTCAGCCAGAAGTAGATACCCAGGTGTGGTCATTCACTTTCAATCCACATCACCTGTCCAAATCTTCTAGGTGCTCTTTCAATCTCAAGCCTCCCTACCAAAATCAGAGCAGGATGCTCAGACACATGTGCACACTGAACTCTGCAAAAAAACACCTGCACAAAGTAAAGAAGGAAAGCAGGAAAGCAAGGCAGCATCCTCAAATGGAAAGCTGACAGTTATGCAAGCCGTGGGAGGCAGGAGACCTCACCAACGCAGGGACTCACCTGTTCCTTGGCACCTGATCAGGGACAGGCAGTGAGAGTTAAGCATCAGGAGAAATCCCCTTTGCTCACCCAGGGACAGCACATGGGTTACAGGTTACCAGATAAGGTCTTCATTATAATATTTCCATCATGTATTATCACCTCTTCCTCACGCCAGAATTCTGTCTTGGGAGTTATTTAACTGATATGCAGAAATCTAAATTTAATTTATTATGATCTAACTCACTTTAGAGGCCAAATTACCCTGCACTAGAGAAGGATCAAGTCAATACTCCACTTGCCTTTCTATTTATCTTCTACAGGGCTCATCTCTCCAAGTTTCATATTCATTTTCTCTCATGTACGAATAATAAATTTTCTTTTTTTGTTGTTGGAATTAGGTAATTTCTCTTTCGACATTGCAGTTTAATGGCTGGTATTAATTATAGGAAACACAGTCAACGCTTAAAAAGAGTTTAAGAGACTCAACGAGTCTGAAGGAAAGAAATGAAAAATATATCCACAGGGTAGCTCTTGGCAAACAAGTGTTGCCCCCTCTGACACCGTACTGGGGGGATCCCCAGGACGTGGACAAAACTCATTGTGCAGAGGAGCTCCCTTCTCACACCAGCATCCAGACAAGAGAAAGGCTCACCAAGAGCTTTCTCTGCCATCTCACTTAAAGCATCCCCCCCAAAAAAGATCCACTAAAGGCACCTCCCTCCAAAACTGCCCACCCCCTTGCTGGCAGAAGGCAAATGGCCCAGAGCCAGCATGGAGCCACCTTTTCACGACAACTACATGTTAAAGATTAAAAGCCTCTCAGTGCAAAGATGTAATTCGTCATCTGCCTCCTAAATCATGGCTCAGAAACAAAACAAAACAAAACAAAACAAAAAAAAAGAAAAGGGAAAAAATAATATTAAAGAAAAAAAAAGGAGCGGTGCTGCAGGGGGAAAGTGGGTCATTAGCAGTAAAACTACAATTTTCTGGCAAGTGCTAATGCCTTGTTTATGTGGATTTCTGCGAATATGACATTTTAATGGCATAATAATTGTGTGATTACAGTACAGCAGGGATTGCTGGAGCGGGAAGGAGGAACAAGCAACTCAGCCGGCTACTGATGCGGGCCCGCAGCGTCCCCGTGGGAAGCTCTGCTCCTGCAGGCAGCCCCCAACACCCCTCACTGGCACGGGAGGCCAGAGCAGGCTGGACACTGGGCAGGGAGCAGGCATGTTGAGGCAGCAGTTTGGCTGCTGTGAGGCAGACCAGCAATGAAAGGGCATTTGAGGTGAAAAGCCTGGCCCAAGCACAGCCAGCAGTGACTGGGGAAGGGCAGATCACACTGGACCCCAGGACCAGCCTCCAGCTACCCAGGAAGACAAGGAGTGGGCAGTGCAAGCCAAAAGCAGATTCTGATTCACTTTCTTCTTTCGTGGCACTGTTTTAAAATAGAGAACTTCAACCTTTGCTAAAATACAAGTAACTTTCCTTTTGGGCATGCTGAGTTTTGCCTTTAGACCAGAGTGAATCGGACAGGCACCACGAGCGTCCTTGCAGGAGGCAGCAAACCCAAGCCTGCCCAGTGGCTGGCAGAGCTGACAGGGTTTGACAGGGAGCCCCATCTTTGGCCAGAAAAGAGGTTTTGCCTGTGCAGGTGCAATGATGACCCCAAAGGAGTCTGGCAGCAGCCAAACATGGCTCTACCTCTATTTCCCTCACACCCAGCTTTCCCTGGAAAATCTCTTCCCTACATAACCTCTGACTGAGTACTCACCACTGAGCCTCTGTCCTGCCTTCCCTGGGACTCAGGCATTAAAAAATAGGAGGGGAGGGAAAGTAAAAAATTACATCAACAAACAAGTGAAAGCTCTAGAAACTCCGAAGCCATGTGGCATGTTGCTGCCTGGCCACGGTCTGTCACTCCTCTGCCTGCCAGGACATCTTTGTGTTCAGCACGGTTCAGGGGCATTGGAGGTAGAGGGCAATCTTCCAGCAGGAACTGCAACCAGACATTATACAAATGAGATTTAAATGTCCCACTGAAGCGTGGGGCCTCTGCAAGCAGGAGGTTCAGTTATAAAGCTGTTACTGGCCAAGGCATTAATGCCATCTGAAAGGATTATAATACTTCAAACAGGATAGGGCTCATCCCTTCTCGTCTCCCAGTGCCAGGACGTGTACTAAGAGGGTCAGCAGCACCAGAGGGAAAAGAAGTGGGACAGCATCACGCTGCCTTCATCCTCATCCTTGAATAACCCAGATGGACCACCGAGGTACAACATCTTTCAGTCAAGCTTTGGTACAGTTTTCTTGACACCAGAGC